TTTTCACATATTGTTTTTTTTTCTTATTATATTTACTTTTCTTATTATACTTACCGATCGCAGAAATATTTTTTGTTTTTTTTCCCGGTAAGTTGTGAGCTCACGAGGTGCGACAGGTTCTTTATTCATGCAAAGTGGGCTACAACGTCGTTGTGTGGATCTTGCAGGTACAGCATGTTGACGTGCTTCTTCTTGTCGCCGGTGAGGCGTAGAGGAAGGACCTGTTCATTTTCAATGCCGTATACATTGATCAACACCGCGTTCAAATGTTCGAATTTCGGAATGTCTTTTAATGTCATCGGAAACTCAATACCCGCGAGATTTAACACTGCAGTGTAATGCGGGTACGATGATTCCCGATCCACATATCTTTCTGCAGGGTATAGAGCAGCTACCACCGACCACGCGAAGCACGCATTGTCCGTCGTACGCACACTGATCACCGCCTTCTTTAACATAATTGCTCGCGACAGTTCGATGTGACATCCAGCGTGCATGGGATTTAATTTGTTCACATTAACAATCAAGTTGTGAATTCGCGACAGCGCCCACCCACTGTCGCATTCCTGGAACTCTTCGAGCGATGTCAAGATAGCTCGACGACGTGCCGTTCGTACCACTCGCGTATATCGGTGCATCGATAAATCTCAATGTTTTTCGTAATTATGCTCTTGTAGCACGATTTATCCTTCGTCACGAACTCGCCGTTGAACGCGGCGTTCACTTTTACACTGTCGTGTCTTTCTACAGCGTCTCGAACTCGTTCGAACACTATATTGCCAGCGTCTTCCAAAAACTGTCGTGGCTCGATGTGATTAGAGTTTATCACCGCGCCTGTCACTATACGACTCTCGAATGCGGTGTCGATCTTTCGCCATACGAGAGATTGCTCATTGCCACTCGCGTACCCATTACTCGCATACCCGCCACCAATGTGCACGAAGCGTCGCTCCAATTGTGTCTTTGCACTCGCGAGTCGCGCGATCCTCGCCACCGCAGATTGTCTATGTCCAACAACAAGGCGCGGACGCTTGGCACGACAAAGTTCTTCGAGCCGCTCGATGCACTCGTCACATCGTTGCAGCCACGCGAAACACTCCGCCAGAGTGGCGATCTGGTCGCACTGCTCCAGCAGTTCGCGTTCCACTCGCTCATGATTTTCCACGGAACACTTGCACGTGACTCGTTCACACACGTTGCACCGCCGCTCCATATCTATAATTGTATAGTACCTTCGCGCCATGTGATATTTTTTTAATACGGAACGGCATGGATCACACTGAAAGCATTCATCTTCACACGTGTCATGAAAAATATATTTTTCTTTTAAAGCAAGATCTTCCTCCCAGCAGTAGGTCTCGTGGTAGCAATTTAGCATACTTGCATCACCGCCTATCGACAGATTGGCTATTTTTTCACCACCCGCGGGAATCGTAAGGTTCCTGTAGCAATGATAAACAGTCTCCATCGCGATTTTCGACACACAAAAAAAGTCGTTGTCTGTTAAATTGCGAGTTTTATATCTATTTTCAAAGTCATCATTCTCGCAATGTTTGTTGAATAACCCCGTGTACACTTTCTGTCGCGCGAATAAAGGCCAGGAATGAACGGGTTGGCGGCAAATTTTTGCCTGTTCCATGACACGCTGGCCGCATATTCCTAACTCTCGATCGCGTAGGAATTGCACCGGTGATTCGCACACTTGTGTCTCTCTCTGTCGCGGATTTTTCTAGAACGAGTACCGCATCTTTTCTAGTATACCGTACATCTATGTTTCGTTCACAATACCGTACATCCATGTTTCGTTCACAATATTGTTTGCAATAGTTTTTTAATTTGTGCACTGTGGACACTTGTTGCACGGAAATATAGTGTACATTGCCACTCGGCAATTCGTGCAAGATCGGCCGTTTAACATCAATATAATTGATATTATGCTTCTTTATAAAATACATTCCCACAGTGTCGATGTCAGCCAAAAGGACCATGCATGCTGCACATACGGTTAAAGCACCACCCGTTGTGTAAGGGTGGCACCCAGTTGGACACGACTCAATTGAACACGAGCCACTCACAGCGCTTGAGACTACAAAGCTCCTAAGCACCGGTCGCTGTGATTGGTGGTGTCCAATCGAGCCGTGATCAATCGGAATCACCCCGTTGTGTAGTAGGACTGGATCATGCAGTGTTTGATACGGCCGTTCAGTGCATGGATTTCCTGAGATGGCACAAATTTTTCTTCAAGATCCGTATCGTACTCGCTCGCGTCACTGGCAAAACCTGTATCGTCAGATAACACTTTTTCTTCGTCGGAATCTTGGTCCATTATCTCCGCGAAATCTATTTCCATTTCATCAATAACTTCGTCTCTGATATTCGCGAATTGTTCCTCATCGACGTTTCTAATAAACTCTGCTATGTCGAATCTGTCCTCAACGTTTCCGATATTTTCAAACTCTACATCGTCCATGTCCTCAACGTTTGCACAATGGTCAGCCATATTTTTTGCATTACACTTATCTCGATCGATTCAGTAATCTTACAGGGCACCAACTGAGGTACTGCGCGCTGATGACCCATATATATTCCATTTGAAACTTCTTTGTCCCTTTGTCTACCCTCTATTGAGTTGCAGCATCGACAATGTGTCACCTATCACTTCTTATTGTTAGAAAAAAATCGCTATCGACGCTTCTCTTAACGCGTCGTGTCATATTCGCGACATGTTACCTAT